GTCAGCAGCCGTCCTGAAGCTTCAGTTATAAGAGTTTGAAGTCAGTGGGTGATAAATACAGAGAAAACTGTTGAAATTATAATGCGCTGTAGTTAACAGGGCGATTCAGATGGAAGTTGGGTGGAAAAACGGAGGAATGTTGCTTTGGGTCCACTGCAGGGATGTTTCTCTTCCTCCCAGTCGTGTGTTCTCAGTTCTCATTCATCGTCTCTCTTCTTCCAGAAAACCTTCTCCAGAGAAGATGTGGCAGCGCTGAAGTCTCGTCTGCAGAAGCTGAAGAGTCGGTCTGAAAGCGTGACCTCGCCCACTCCTGCCCCGGTGTCCACGCTCGCCGAGCTCAAAGCCAGACTCGACAGCGCCAGAGAGCTTTCGGCCAAAGTCCAGCAGAGAAAAGCTGAACGAGTCGCAGAGGAGGAGAAATCAAAGGAGGAGCAAACAGAAACCCAGCCCGGAGCGGAGGAGGGGTAAGAGGGGTCCTGTTATCATACTGCTGCACATGAACGCTACACTGGGTTTGTGTGAAACTGCTGGCACCCTGTGACAACCCCTGTGGTGTCATTTGGGTTGGCATAATGGCCTAAAACAGGGTCATTAGTTCTGGTCCTGGAGGGTCAGTACAGCACAGTTAGGTGCTTATTCTGCTCAGACACTTGATTCAACTTATCAGTTGAACCAGTTTGGTTCACCAAGAAATCTAATTTACACAATTTCCCCCCCTTAAAGCTAAATGTAGTCAAACAGTCATGACATGTTTAGGGTCTGATGTTTGCCTCTTTAGATTTTCTCTGGAGCTACAAGGCTAATGTAGCCACCAGGTTGTGAAAGTCTGTGCCACCCAAAATCTTTCAGTGACTTGTATCACTTTAGCCTTGTGGCTGCACTGAAGGATTTTGGGTAGCATAGACGTCTGTTACTTGTTAGCTACATTAGCCTTGTAGCACCAGTACAAAACATAAGAAGCAAACTTTAGACACCAAACATGTCTTTGGTAGGTTGACTGTTTTGCTGTAGGGTAAAAATCAGTATGTTTATTATTATTATTATTAGTAGTAGAGTAGGAGTAGTAGTTGTGGTCAGGGTGCCCAATCCTGGTCCTTTTGATTAATTAAGTGACCCTTATTAGTCCCACAACACGGAAATTTCACCTCTGCATTTTAACCCATCCGTGCAGTGAAGCACCACATGCACACTAGTGAACACACCCTAGGGGGCAGTATGGGGCACACTTGCCTAGAGCGGTGGGCAGCCCTATCCACAGCGCCTGGGGAGCCGTTGGGGGTTAGGTGCCTTGCTCAAGGGCACTTCAGTCACGTACTGTCAGCTCAGGGGATCGAACCGGTGACCTTCCAGGACCCGGACCAGGTGTGTTAGATCAGGGTTGTGTTAGGTGACCCAAGGCTGGTTCCCTAACCTCCAGCCCATGACTGCCCCCTGTTTTACCACCCTGCAGAGTTTAGCTCCAACCCTGATCTAACAGACCTATCAGGGCCTTCAGGGGCATCTGACTATGAGCCAGGTGTGTTGGATCTGAACTCTCCAGGGTGGTGGATCTCCAGGACCAGGATTGAGTACCTCTGGTCTAAATCATGTAGCTTATTGTGTTTTTTTTTGTTTTTTTGTTGGTTTGTTTTTTTTCCATAATGAAATAACTGAAGTTCTAAGACTTTCGTTAATAAATATATCCTAAAGGCTTTATAATATTCAGAAAGTTTGATTTTGCAGGACTTTTACATTGTCTTGGCTCTCAGTCTTAGTTACACTGTATTTTTAAGGCTTGTATCTCTTACACATTCGGCGGTGCTGCTTTTCTCATTTCAGAGAGAAGCTTCCTGCTTATCAGCGCTACCACACTCTCGCTCAGGACGTTCCTCCTGGCCTCACCCTGCCATACAAGTACAAGGTTTTGGCTGAGATGTTCCGCAGCATGGACACCATCGTCGGCATGCTCTTCAACCGCTCTGAAACGGTCACCTTCGCTAAGGTCAAACAAGGAGTCCAGGACATGATGCACAAGTAAGAGCAACAGTCTGCCAGTCTTAAAAGGGTCTTCTTTATTTTTCATCTGGGACGTTTTAGAAGTTTTATAATGTGTTTTTGGGCGAATTTGGATTTTTATTGTTTTGTTTTAAACAAGCCTGAAAATGAATCTTTTTAACAAAGGCCTTTCAAAGCAGTTTGTACTGAATTAATGGGGAAAAATGCTCATTCCTATGTCGCTCTTTCCTTGCCAGGCGTTTTGAGGAGACTCACGTAGGACAGATGAAGGCCGTGTACCCGTCTGCCTACACCTTCCGGCAGGAGAAAAACATTCCAAACTTCAGCGCCACAGCAAAGAAATCTGCCTACCAGCTCACTGTGGAGCCTGTCATCGAAGAAGGTAACTGATCTGAGAAAAACGTTTTAAACTGATTTTGAATCAGTCTAGTTGTCTGAATTCTTTCACTCATAAGAGGTTTTGTTCTTCCTCAGAAACAAACGGAGCTCGGCCTGTCCTGTCTGCTACTCGTCTGCTGGAGAGAAGACGCGTGTTCCACCAAAACTTGGTCGAAATTGTGAAGGGACACCATAAGGTTGGTGCTGTGCTTTTACAGTTTCCCATCATATACTGTAAATGTGTCCTGTGCAAAAGTTATTGCACATTTTGTGTCATGTTTTTTTTCCCCCCATATTAAATTTTGGAAATTTTGCACAACGTTCTGCAGAAAAAGTCAGATTTCAGGTTGTTTCTTGGAGAAAACATAACTTGCTTTCACTCATAAAATCAACAAACATGTAATTTGACCAGGAGAGTTTGTTTATGACTGTACATAAAATGCACTGACTGACTTATAAAGACACATTAAACATGAACTAACATCGCTGGTCTGTCCTGCAGGTGTTTCTAGCCACCCTGAACCCTCCTGTGGTCGTCCCAGATGACAAGCTTACTCGCTGGCACCCCAGATTCAGTGTGGATGAGGTGCCAAATATCCAGCCCTGTGATTTGCCTCAGCCTCCACAGACCGGGAAACTGACCACTGCTCAAGAAGTGCTGGATAAAGCTCGCTCACTCATGACCCCTAAGGTAAACATGCTTAGCTTTGGCTTTAAACTACAGCCAGGAGCTTCAGGACAGCAAAGAGAACTTTCCTGAAGTGTTGAACTTCACATTATATTTTGCTAAAACATACAGAAAGGGCTCTGAATGTAAGAGAACACATGCCATGAAGAATTTCAGTTGCATTTTTTTAACACTGTGTTGCTGCAGATACATTCATGCTTGTGTCCAGATGAGACTGCAAACTCTCAAGTCCTTGATCATGTTTTGAAAGGCTTTACAAAATGTTTTGTTTAATTTTCAGATGGAAAAGGCTTTGGCTAATATGGCCTTAAAAACAGCAGAGGCAGCATGTGCAAAAGAGCCGGAGCCCCCAGCGAAACCAGACGTGACCCCTGTACAAACACCCAGTGCTCTCAAAGGGGTCTCCCAGTCTCTGTTGGAAAGGGTATGTATTGCAAACACCAGTCAGTTTAAGTTTAAGTTTTCCAGTTAGAGGTGGGTGTTATGGCAAAAGTGTAATTGCGATACTTCAAGAATTTTTACAGTGCACAACATGCCTGTGTTTTTTCTCACATTTGACAAATTGAAATAAAGCTACATTTTAAAAGTACAAAACCTATGAATAGTTCTGTATTCAACATTTCACATTGAACTAAATCCAGTTAAACAGAATTAAACTCTAATCAAACGTGCAGTTGAGGAGTGTTAGCCCTGATGTCTATAATATGCTCAGAAAAGCATTGACAGTTTATCACAATGACAAATATTGTCATATTGCGCAGCCCTATTTCAGTACACTTGCACACATTGACGATTCTGATCAGTTCTGAGGTTTAAAAGCACGTGACAAGCAGTAAACGAAATGCAGCATTAGTAAGGACATCATGCTCACTGGTCATTCATTGCTGGTCATGTTGGATTTAAATTTCTAAAATGTGAAATCACTCATTTCTTTAATTTCCTTTCACGTTCAGATCCGAGCTAAAGAGGCTCAGAAACTGCAGGCGGCGATGACCAGGAACCCTGAGCAGGAGGAGCGTCTGGCAATGACGTCACGGCTACCAGAGCTGGCCAGGATCCTGAGGAACGTCTTTGTGGCTGAAAAGAAGCCGGCCTTGATCATGGAGATCGCCTGCAATCGCATGATCGCCAGCTATCGCTCTTCTCTCAGCACAGGTGAGCATGATTAGTCTCTCAGACAGTTGTTGACAGTTGTAGTTTACTCTTCATTGCACGAGACTCCATTATAATCAAGGACAATTCCTTTGAGTTGTATTCAGCAAAATCTGTTATCTTTATTTTACTACAACAAATTGCGTTTTAAATGAGTTTGATTACTGATTAGAAATAATTTAGCTGTAAATAACCGAACGGCCTTCTAATTCCAGGGGAAATGGAAAAGCATCTCCGTTTGCTGGCCGAGCTGACGCCCGAGTGGCTCACGATACATCCGATCAGAAAAGATTTCTACCTCAAGCTGAACAAGAATGCGAACATGAACCTGATTTTGGACAAACTGAGTCAGAAGATTAAAGAAGAGGAACGACGCTGAGAACCAAATGAAGAATCTTGGACTTCGTGCTGAACTGTGTGCAATAGTTTTGGAGAATAACTCCATGTTTTTAATCTACAGACTGGCCACAGTGTGGCTTCACTGCCCGTGCTCCGAACACTGGCCTTCGAGTGCTTTAAAAGGAAAATGTTTTATGACAGAATGTGAGAAAGTTTGCTTGAATACTACTTTAGTTTTTTTTTTCTTTTTTTAATAATGAAGCAGGTTTTTGTCCAGTTTGAGCTAAATGCATTATTTTAAGTTGACAGTGGCTGTAAATTTTAAAGACTTGTATAGACGTGGTACACATGACAGTATTTGAGCTTCAAGACCTTAACTGGAATAGCAGCAACAGGTCACTGAATAGTCTTGATCTGCTTAAATGTACAATAAACAAGCTGTTTGAAATGGTTTTCAATAAGTCTTTTAATCAAGACCAAATTACAGCTTTTTGATTTGGAACCGCTTTGGACAACTGCAAGAAATCAATCACATACAAATATAATTATAAAGGCACTGTAAGTAATATTTTCATACTTTGATTTAACAATACATGTTAGGCATGCACACTAATATTGGAGCCAATGGAATCAGAAGACGGCTGTTTTAAACCTCTTAAATTTGACTGATTTCAGTTCAGTACTTGCTGTTTTTATTGTACTTTGGAAGAACAGGAATGTTCAGACATTTCTACTGTGCTAAAATGTCTGAATTGTACTCATTTTACTGCAGATACATTTTACATTTCTATATAATCCGATATTCAGGGTGAATTTAGTTCCATCTTCTACATTTGTGTATTGGCATCAACATAGTAAGTGCATGACTAATACATGGTACTGTCATTGGCCCACAATTCCCATATTAGTGCGTCCCTAATACATATTTTCTACTGCAAAGGTATGAAGTATAATGGAGCGTTCTACTTACCCTAAAGTGGCTTTAAGATATTAAACATGTAATCACACTAATTACACAGGCAGGTCAGACCTCACGACTAATGCCCTCTTTAACTGCTATGCTGTTAAAGTCCCAAAACAAACACAACAGTCCAAAATACAGGGTGATTCAACAAGATTCATCTGATTTCAAAGTACCATATTTTTACAACTGTGAGGTGCCTAGGAACCAATCACATACCAAATGAAAGAGGGGGTCATAGAGTTTCTGACTGTCACCGGAAGATGGCTCCCTTCAGTCTGAGAGGAGATGAGACCCCTGAGCAGAAAACGTTTTACATTCTCCACTTCAATAAGAGTGAATCCGTCATAACTGCAACGTGATTTTTGTCATCAATGAACCTCCAACAGCTCAGAGCGTTCGTCGTTGGTTCCACAACACTGGACGATCTCCGAAATTGCACTGAAAGAGCCGTGAGAACAGTCTGACAGGCTCAATCCAGTGTGGGATGGGTTTGACTATGGCGTTGATGTTGTCTGTACAGCTGGAGGAGGTTCATACTGAGACCTTGTACAATTACATAAACTTTATGCTCATTAAACCATTTACAGTTCACTGCATTGATCTGTAATGATTTACAAGTGAAATAAATCATTTTGAAACCGGATGAATCATCCTGTACAGTACAAACAGATGAACTCGAATCCAGAATCAGGACATTGCTTGTGTAATACTACATGCTACCATTACCGTAATATTTTACTTATTTATATCCCAAATAAAGGGATGAGTAAACAAGGTATTTGGCTGCATACGATATGAACATATTGCTTCTTATTAAGACATGCTGACTATTAAATTTACATTTGAAATGCAACTCAATCATGCATCACTTCACATAGAGAGAGCAAAGGTCCCCTTTAAATAGCACATACAGTCAGGTCAAGTATTTGGACAGTGACAAGTTTTGTAATTTTGCCTCTATACACCACCACAATGGATACGAAATGAAACGGTCAAGATGTGATTGAAGTGTAGACTTTCAGCTTTAATTCAAGAGGCTGAACAAAAAAATACTGCATTAACCGTTTAGGAACTGGAGCCATTTTTACACAGTCCCTCCATCTTCACAGGCTAAAAAGGTGGAAACCACTGAAGTGAACATAGGAACTAAAAGGCCAGTTTAGACTTTGCTAGAAAACATCCAAAAAAGCCTGCCCAGTTCTGGAATAAGATTCTTTGGAGTGATGAAACCGCAGTTAACTAGTACCAGAATGACGGTACGGAGTATGGAGATAACAGTATGGAGAAGCATAGTACATCATCTGGAAACATGGTGGAGGTAGTGTTAAGACATGGGCATATATGGCTGCAAATGGAACTGGGTCACTGGTGTTTTGATGATGTGAGGCAAAATTAAAAAAAGTGTCAGTGTCCAAATACTTGGACCTGACCGTACATGGACCAGCTCAGTGACAATGACAAACGGCTTCTATGACATTTTCAGTTTAAAGAGACAAAACACTTCAGTCTAAGGGATGTGTACTTATTCCCTGCTGTAAACACAGACTTTTTAAGCGGAAATCAGGATGGACTGGTGAGGTAGTATCTGCTCAGTGTTGCACCAAAGAGAAAACAGGGTATGACTTCAGCCTTTCTGCCCCCTTGAGGTCCTTCAGTTCGATCACCACTAAACAGCCCAAAACTTCGGCCTGCTGCTTCTTCATCAGCTCACACGCTGCATACAACGTCCCTGTGCCACAAACAGAATTACAGAACAACAAACAAAGCAAAATCATCAGGTTTTAACCCTTTTGTTGCCAGATGAAGGCTAAAGCAGAGAGCTAATAGCAGGTTTTACAGTGATCTGGCTGTGTGTTTGTGCTGTATTTCTGGGTTGTGTGATGTTAGAGCTGGTTTCTCTCACTCTAGCTAGGGATGGCAGGTTCCTCTGAGTGTTCTGATGTGAATCACGTTGCTATTTTTAACCCTTTGTTTATAATATGAAGGCTAAAAGCAGAGATGTAATATAACAGTAGCGAGTGGGGTTTGGGTGATTTTGGAGCTGGATCTCTGGCTGATGGATGGTCTCAGGTGGACGAAATCACTCTGGATGGTGAAGCAGAATCTAAATGAGTGAAACGTTTCTGTTTTAACCCTTTGTTGGAATATGAAGGTCAAAAATCAGAGCAATAGTATCAGGATTTTGGGTGATTTTCCGAGCCGAATTACTCGCTGATGCTGACGTCACAGCTCAATGACGTCACACTAACTAGTTAGGGGCGGGTCTGCTGAATGTCCTGATATGTGGATCATGTCTGTAGCTTAAACCGTTCTGAAGTTACAAAGACTAGAAGTGACCTGTCGTCCTAAGGGTTAATCCTAATGGTTCTAATGATCTTTTTTTCAGCAGGGCAATAATAATAATAATAATGATAATAATAATAATAATAATATTTAACAACTTCCTATTTAACATAAGACTTTTTATGGTTTAAATAATGACTTTAGAGGTACTCTAAATAATCTAAAAGTAGGCTATGATGCTGAAATTACTGAAACACTATTACCCCACATGGAGAACCACACCGCTAACATCACATCACACAGTGAGTTCTAGATGGATTTTTTTCTAAATTAATTAAGGACAGATTAGATACAGAATTAGATCGGATTCCTCCCTTTTTTCCAATATCCAATCCAGCATCTTACGCTGACAGCACCTAACTGGTACACCTTGTGGGTGTATAATTAAAGACTACAGCTTGTCTTTTTCCATGAACAGTGTGTTTTAGCCATCCTCTTCATCAACAACGTCAGCATCACTGCTGTGCTGACCATGGTCCACCACCCAAATAATACCTGGCCAGTCGTGGTCCTGTGAGGGTCTGTTTCCAGGCTTACGCGTGAATTAAATGACCAAATTACGCAGCAGCAGATGGGCTACAGTCTTTAACTGTAAAACTACAAAAAGCACCTACATGGTATACGATGGCCATTGAGTGAAGGTACCTAATAAACTGGAATATACAGTTTTGTCTTTGTTCTCATACTGAAAAGCTGAAGCACGGTGTATAGACTCACCCCCAGTAGCCAGCAGGTCATCAACGAGTAGAACCTTCTGTCCTGGTTCCACAGCATCCTCCTGAATCTCTGCTTCAGCCTGAAAGACACAGACACAATGAAATTTACCAATCAGGCATAACATTATGACCACCTCCTTGTTTCTACGCTCATTGTCCATTTTATCAGCTCCACTTACTATATAGGTGCACTTTGTAGTTCTACAGTTACAGACTGTAGTCCATCTGTTTCTCTGCATACTTTGTTAGCCCCCTTTTACCCTGTTCTTCAGTGGTCAGGACCCCCATGGACCCTCACAGAGCAGGTACTATTTGGGTGGTGGATCATTCTCAGCACTGCAGTAACACTGATGTGGTGGTGGTGTGTTAATGTGTGTTGTGCTGGTCTGAGTGGATCAGACACAGCAGTGCTGCTGGAGTTTTTAAACACTGTGTCCACTCACTGTCCACTCTATTAGACACTCCTACCTGTCAGTCCACCTTGTAGATGTAAAGTCAGAGACGATAGCTCATCTGCTGCTGCACAGTTTGTGTTGGTCATCCTCTAGTCCTTCATCAGTGGTCACAGGACGCTGCTGGCTGGATATTTTTGGTTGGTGGACTATTCTCAGTCCAGCAGTGACACTGAGGTGTTTAAAAACTCCAGCAGCACTGCTGTGTCTGATCCACTCAGACCAGCACAACACACACTAACACACCACCACCACATCAGTGTTACTGCAGTGCTGAGAATGATCCACCACCCAAATAGTACCTGCTCTGTGAGGGTCCATGGGGGTCCTGACCACTGAAGAACAGGGTAAAAGGGGGCTAACAAAGTATGCAGAGAAACAGATGGACTACAGTCTGTAACTGTAGAACTACAAATGGTTCAACTAACACACACATAACAACCGTAAAGTTCTGTTTGTTTATTTGCAGTCTTTGAACAAATGAACAGCTTTATATATAATTTTGCCCAATACTCTATAAACATGGTACAATGGTAGTGTTGGTTCAGGTGGAGCAAAACACAAGAAATTATGCTTTTATGAACCACAGTAGGGGGCCTTACCGTGCCGTACTCGAGACTGTACGCTACAGACACTGTGGGGCCGGGGAGCTTCCCTTTCTTCCTGACCAGAGCAAAGCCTACTCCTAACCTTTGGGCCAAAAGAGGCCCAAACAGGAAACCTCTGGCATCCAGACCTGCAGCACAAAATAGGTCTTAAAGCACCAATAGTAATAATAATAATAATAATAATAACAATAACAACAGTTGTTGTGCTAAATAAAGTTAAAAAAGGGTAAAAGGGTAAAAATAAAGTTAAACTCAATGTTTTAAATAAAACTGATTGGTGCAGTTTTATATGTCAGAATGGCATTTTATATCCAATTCAGTTAGTCCTGAAATACACTGATAAAGGACTATTATTAAGGAGTTTGTTCCCATTTGCTGCAGTAACAGCCTCTATTCATCTTGGAAGGCTATACACTAGTTTTTGGAACACGGCTGTGAGGATTTGATTGCAGCTATAAGAGCATTAGTGAGGTCAGGTACTGATGTTGGATGGCCAGTTCTGGATCACTCCAACTCATCCCAAAGGTACTGGATGGAGCTCCACCACTCCAGTGAACACAGTTCCACTGCTCCACAGCCCAATGCTGGAGGGCTTTAGGCCCCTGTAGCACACAATTGTGTGAGCTCCTCCTAATGTTTTAAACTGGATTACCAAAGTCAGAGTCTTGTGAAACAGAGTAAAGATTTGTGAAACAAACCAGTAACCCAGAGCCAGATATTTAACAGAGAGCTACCAGAAAACAATATCAGGTACAGTCATTGTGATGAGGCAAACGTGTTGCCCATCACCAGAGGACTGTGTGTGGAATACTTACCTGAACACCTACCTGTAATACTCACCTGTTGTCTGTTTCCTAACACCAGCAGCAAAAGGGAGGCAGAGCAGACGGAGCTCACTCATGAGCGTGCTGCAGGGCCCATGGCTAGCTCATGAGAGGGGTGATGTGTCTACCTAGGGCACAGAAGACAGAGTGAGACAGGCTAGTCAATGCGCGCACTGTATGAAATGTCCCACTGGTAATTTCACGCGTCAAGACCTTGTGAGACGTAATTATGATTTTATTCACCCTTGTTCTTAATCCACTCTTATAGGACAGCAACACCCCTGCAGAGTGGAATGGTTCAGCTCAGGTGATGCAGGGGTGGGGCTAACCCTATAAGAGGCAGGGGAAGGGTTTAGTAGGGGGCTAGCTCGAGGATACTCACCTCAGACTGCGAGGAGACTGAGAAGAAGGAGTAAGAGCTAAGCTAAAAAGAATATAGTCCTGTGGCCTTGCGGCCTGAGACTATTTATACTTACCTGTACTGATCGAGTCGGGTCAACATTTTACCTACCATTTACTTTGTGTTTGTACAGTTTTTCTTTGTGTGTTTCACCTTGTAAATAAATCTCAGTCATTGCAAAGAATCATCCAGAGTCGCCACATCCTCAGCCTGCAACTACATTCCACTACCCATTCAGTCACAAACGACTTCGTGTCTCCTAACGGGGTTCGGGGAAACATCGTCACATTATGGTGGCAGCGGTATCTGGTTCCTTCGATGATCGTCATATTAAAACGACAGCGGAGTCTGGTTCCCACGACGCTCATCGCATCATAGCAGCAGCAGCCTCTACTTTCAATGGCTCTTCTGAGAACCAGGAGGAGCGACAGAGAAGCGGCTGCAGCGATTCACACTGTGGTGACAGTAGTGAGCATGGCAACAGAGAAAAGGCGACAGTGAAGAAGTCAGGCAGGGAAAAACAAACATGGCGGCGTCCATGTAGAGCACGAACGGTGAGAGAAAGGACTCAGAAAACTGTATAAAAAGACTTTTGGTGTAGTTACGAGGCATAGCGGGAGAAAAATGCCTCCTAGAAAAGTGGCAACGAGCTCTCATGCGGAGGAGCAGTATGAGAGCGCGAATGAGCAACGGCAGCAGCCGACGGCGTCAGCTGAAACCACCGCCGGCAGCACAACAGCGAGCATCGAGCAAGTCTGCGAGTTACTCCAGGGCTTCATCGCCGAGCAGAGGAGTAAAGATGAGCTCATACATCGCGAAATGGCAAGACAAGAGCAAAGATGGCGGTCGCTTCAGCATCAGTTTGGACTTTTGCAAGGAGAAGTCCAGAAAAGCCAGCTCGCGGCGAGTTTGGACAGCGCGGGGAGCGAGGAGCAGATTGCGCAACCTCACACACGGATTTTAAGGACTTCACAAACGGCAGTGGCGAGCCAAAGACAGTGGCAGGAGGAGCGACCTACAGCGCAAATGGTATGGCAAGCTCCTAGAATGCCTACTTTGAAAGAGACTGATGACACTGAACACTTTCTGACTACATTCGAACGCTTAGCACAAGCTGCACAGTGGCCTGTAGAGAGCTGGGCACTTCACCTGATTCCTTTGCTAGAAGGCAAAGCAAGAGCAGCTTATGTTGCACTGGACGCTGAGGACGCGTGTGACTATGAAAAAGTAAAGAACGCAGTGCTGAGAAAGTATGAAATTAACAAAGAGACGTATAGGCAGCGTTTCAGAGACTGTGCTGTGAGAGTGGATGACACACCCAGGGAACTGTACACCAGATTGAAGGGACTGTATGAGAAATGAATGACGCCACGTGAGAAAACCAAAGAGCAGATAGGCGACACCATTATCTTGGAACAGTATCTCAAGATGGTGAACCCTGAGCTCCGCAGCTGGATCATCGAACGCAGCCCAACATCAACGGATCAAGCAGTCACACTCGCAGAAGCGTACATCGCAGCCAGACAAGCTGAAGGAAAGTTCCGGCTGGGAGATCTGAGCACGCCACGATACAGCTGTGAACCCGGTAAGTTTGGGGATGGATATGGTAGTGGTTCTAAACCCCAGGTTTTTAGATCATCCACTCAGGGCTACCGGCAAAGCTCAGATAAAATAAAGCCAGAACTTGTAGCATTAAACGCAGTCCAGATAAATTATCAGATGTTCTAACTGTAATCAAGTGGGTCATAAGGCTAACACATGTCCTACGCTTCAGAGTAGTATCAACCAGCTATGTTACACACCTGCAAGGGAAAGAGTTTTAAGCCAAAAGAGTTCAGTAAAGATGTGATTTTAACCGTCAAAGTAGGAGGTAAAAAGCGCAGAGCACTACTAGACACTGGTGCAAGTCAAACGTTAGTGCTAGCTGACTGTCTCCCAGAGTACACAGGAGAGCTCAGAGTTAAATGCATACACGGGGGAGAGCAGATTTACCCAACAGCTGAGGTTAACATCGAGGTTAACGGTCAAACATACTTACTGAATGTGGGTATTTTGCAAGAGATCCTTGGCAGAGATGTACCAGTCCTGGTAGATCTTTTAATTCAGTAGCAAAATAAAGCTGAAGCTATGGTAATGACCCGTGCACAGACTAAAAACACAGAGCAAGAAAGTGCAGCATGAATGAAGGAACTCCCATTCTGTGAAATCACTAGAAAGCATAAATCTAAAGCTGTCAGAAGGCAGGAAAAAGTCAGAGGTACACCCATAGAGGAATGTGTAAAGCCGCTAGAACTAGATGCAGAGGGGTTAATATCTGACATAGCCAAACAGCAAGCAGAAGACCCTACGCTGAAACCTTTGTTTTTAAAATGTACTGAAGCCACAGCTGAAGGTGACAAACAGTTCATTTTAAAAGACAACATTTTATACAGAATTAAGGGTGAGTTTGAACAGCTAGTAGTACCCAAAAACTTAAGGCAGCAAGTACTTAAACTTGCACACTCAAACATATGGGGACAATCAAAACACTAAGCAGGATAGTCACTAGGTTTTACTGGCTGCGTCAATATCAAGATGTGGTAGAATATTGTAAAGCATGTCCTGAATGCCAACTTACAGCCCCTTTGAAAAGTGCAGGCAAAGTTCCCATGATTAACTTGTCTATTGTAGATGTTCCATTTTCATGTATTGCCATGGACATAGCAGGACCTCTTCCAAGAAGAAAGGTCCATTGAGAAAGGTGAAGACAAGGCAGATTGTCAACGCCTTAATCCAACTCATCTCACGGGTAGGAATCCCAAAAGAGATTTTAACGGATCAGGGGTCTAATTTTACGTCCAGGCAGCTCACTGATGTTTTTAAACTACTGGGGGTTAGGGGTATCAGAACCACACCATACCACCCTCAGACTGACGGGCTAACTGAACGCTTCATCCAGACCCTGAAGTCCATGCTACGTCGTTTTGTCTCCGAGGTTGGAGCAGATTGGGACACATGGCTCCCGTATGTCCTGTTTGCATACCGGGAGGTGCCACAAGCATCAACGGGGTTTTCACCATTCCAGCTTCTCTATGGTAGAGAGGTGAGAGGACCGTTAGACGTCCTGAAAGAGGCCTGGGAAGGCAATGACACAGCGCAAAGGCTGAACGTTCTCTCACATGTCCTCAAAATGAGAGAAAAAATGTCAAAGATCACAGAGCTTGTGAGGGACAACATGGAGAAGGCACACCAATGGCAAAAGACATGGTATGACCACACAGCAAAGAACAGAGAGCTCAAGCCAGGTGGGAAAGCTCTGGTTCTTCTGCCAACATCCGATACCAGTCTTTTAGCAAAGTGGCACGGGCCTTATGAGGTGCTCAGAAGGGTCAATCGGACGACCTATGAGTTATCTCTCCCCGACAGGAGAAAAAAGACAGACATTCTACATCAACATGCTGAAGGCATGCAAAGAGGCGGATCACAACAGTTCAGAGCAACTGTGGGTTCGAGCTGTTCAGGACGAGGAAGAAATCACAGAGCAGTACTTCCCAACAGCCAGTGAGAGCAGCTCAGCGCCTGATTTGTCTCACCTCAACAACACACAGCGAGAGGAACTGGAGAGAGCTATCCCTCCAGGACTCTTCAGAGCAGACCCCGGTAGGACAGATGACATCCAGCACAACATCAGACTGCTGAAAGGTGAGCCAATTCGGCAAACCACCTGTCGAGTACCGGCGTGTCTGATCCCAGATCTGAAGAGGAGGTAGAGACTATGCTTCAGATAGGGGTGACAGAGCCTTCAACCAGCGAATGGTGCAGCCCAGTGGTCCTGGTCCCGAAAAAGGATGGTGGACTAAGATTCTGTGTTGATTTCTCAAAATTGAACTCGGTATCAGCTTTTGATCCATATCCAATGCCGAGAGCAGACGAGCTGATTGAAAGACTGGGCAAAGCAAAGTTCTTGTCAACACTAGACCTTTGCAAAGGTTATTGGCAAGTTCCTTTGAGCCCAGAGGCTAAAGAGCTTACAGCTTTTTGTGTACCTTCAGGATTATACCATTTTTCGGTAATGCCTTTCGGGTTGCATGGAGCCGCAGCAACATTCCAAAGGCTGATGGACGGTGTACTGAAGGGTACAGAAGAGTTTGCTGCAGCTTACATAGATGACGTAGTCATCTACAGTGAGACTTGGGAGATGCACGTGTGTCATGTCAGCAAGGTACTACAGCGAATCGGCAAGGCGGGACTGACTGCAAATCCAGCCAAGTGTCACCTGGCAAGAGGTACGGTTTCCTACCTAGGCTACATACTAGGGGGAGGAGTCATCTGCCCACAGGTCGACAAGGTGGAGGCAGTACAGAATAGTCCAGCGCCGAACACAAAACGAAGGGTGCGATCCTTCTTAGGACTGGTCGGTTGGTACCGTCGTTTTATTCCAAACTTCTCCAAAAGAGCAGCAGTTTTAACGGACCTCGTAAAGAAAGACATGCCGCAAAAGGTAAAACGGACTGAAGAGTGTGAAGCAGCATTCCAGGACTTGAAAGACTGCTTATGCACAGAACCGGTTTTACACAGCCCAGACTTTGACAGACCGTTCGTGGTGCAGACGGATGCGTCAGGTTGTGGACTGGGAGCAGTATTGCTGCAGGAGCATGAGAGTGAGCTTAAGCCAATTCTCTATATCAGCCGGAAGTTGTTTCCAAGGGAGCAGAAAGAGGCTTTGGCTGTAAAATGGGCATTAGACTCTCTCAAATATTACCTGTTGGGGACTGAATTCATTCTAGAAACTGACCACAGGTCTTTGCAGTGGATGGCAAAGATGAAAGACACTAATGCCAGGATAACAAGGTGGTATTTGTCGCTGCAACCCTTTAAATTTCAGGTGCGGTACCGGAAGGGAGCGCAGAACACCACCGTGGACTTCCTCTCTCGTCACAATGAGTTGTGACATTGATAAGGGGGGGGTGTGTGATGAGGCAAACGTGTTGCCCATCACCAGAGGACTGTGTGTGTAACTGACGGTGGCTTCGTGTCTCCTAACAGGGTTCGGCGAAGCATCGTCACAGTCATATGTCATTGATAAAATAAATGAATCAAGATAGAGACCAGTGATGGAGCTTGAGTTCAGTCTTACCTACGATCAACTGCACCTCTGGGTGTTTTTGCCTGACATGCTCCTCGAACAGGTCTATAACAGCAGCTAGAGCTTTAGGATCTTTCAGAATGGGGCAGATATCCCTGCAGGGGCAAACATACAACATTAAAGAGGAATTCAACATTTCTGAATAATCCGGTCCTTGAAATATAAACAGAGTCATTCAGAGTGGTTTGGTGTGAAATGGCTCATTGTGGAGGCTCAGATGTCTTTACAGTGGTGGTGATAGGAACCAGGGGTCACCATGACTACAACACAAATATAGGCATATTATTTACTGTCCAAAACCACCAGTGAACCTACACGAGTCTTCTGAGTTTTCACATGTAATGGTGATGATGATTAAAAAAAAAGTCTGAAAAAATAGTTTTCTTTGGGGAATATTTGGCCTTACAACACCCTGCATGCACTCCTTCATCACAAAACTACAGTAAAACAATGTCTGGTGTATCAGGCAGTGAGTTCATAACCATGGCATGTAGTAACTCTGTGTGGGAGCCTTTAGAGGTGGACGTCTGGTTTCTATCACCACCGCTTTAAACAATTCAGACTCTAGAACGGAGCATTTCACACCGAACCACTCTGAATAGCTGTTTACATCGCAATCATTTAATTATGTAGATTTTTTTTTTTGAAAAATGGTGGACTTCCCCTTTACAACCGCCAGTGAACGCTGCACATCACCGTCCTTCCCACGTTAGCGTTACCATTAGCTGCACATTTCTGCTTAAAGGTCATTCGTTTCTAACGACACTGCGAACTAATCCAGATTAATATGATGCACAATCAGGTCACTCACCAAAACAGTATACCTTTGGTGGGAAAATCAGGGAATGGTCTGATTTTCTGGACAACAAGGTCCAGCTTCTCTGAAGAGCTGCCTGCCATGAGTGAAACGCGGACGCTGAGAAGCAGCGCATTGCACAGCAGCCAACAATTCAAAATAAAAGTCCCGCCTTAACAATAAAATTCCCTCACAATCACTTTTAAAAATATATGAAAATTAACTACAAATAAATGTAAAATAAATGTAAAAGTTAAGATTAAACAATAATAAAAATTGACATTGATACTGGTAGGGGTATACATTTATAATAAGGGTGCTCTATGGAATGAGGAAGAAAAAAAAGTGTGTATGTATGTATGTAGACAAGAGTGTCACAGACTTTTTTGTATAATGTTAAGATTTATCTAAAAAACATTTAAACATAAGGCCCAAAGCTATACCAAAAACAATCAATGCACAGATTCTGAGAGGAAATTACACCCAAGCTATTGTTGCTGTAAATAACGTTTTGCTTAGAGTAAGTTCTTATTCGGAATACGTTTAAGAAACTCTATGAAAAATGTAACTTTTGGAAAAAAATACATATATAATGTAATAAACAGACAAACAAATAAAGGAAGATTTTTCATAGTTTGTGTATAAAATACAGTTTTGCACTGTTACTTTATTAACACATTCTTTTGCATTTACAAACAGGTGCAAAAGGTGAAAATATAAATGTGTAAAACTTAGACAATGCTGCATTTCTTGTATTTGTTTATTACGATGTCAAAAAGAGAAAAATAAAAATACAGCAATAGTTTGAAATAATTAAGTTCTTTTAAAAATATTCCCTCCAAAATAAAAAAAGTGATTAAAATCATCATCATGAGTGCAGACAGAATTTTTAGTTTTTCTTTTTTACATTCATGAATGCAGAAGAGATCATCCAGTCTGTGTAGAGATCAGCTGGAGGGTTTAATGTTCTGATCATTTGTGTAGAAGACGCCTCAGTGCGGCCAGTCACACTTCCACGGCTGAGAGGGTGGTGGTTTGAGGCACTTTCCCAGCTGCTTACACCCAGGAGGAGACCAGTTCTGCCAGAAACATACACAAAAACACATTTACATAAGTATATTTACTGTTATTATGAAAGGCCTCCAAGCACAGAGGGGTAATTGAGGAAGATAGATGCACTTGATGTAGCAGAGCTTCCTAATCCTGGTGTTTTAGTCCATCTACACAGCACATATGAGTGTTTTCTGCTCCAACACTGCTGTTTTAACCTTATAAAGGGCTTATAAATGGGCTGATGAGTTTAATCAGGTTTATCAGAGCAAGAAAAATACTGAAATGTGCAGCGATGAGACTCCAGAATCAATCCTGAGGCTGCATCCATAACCATATATATTACTATATTACTAATACTATACTAATGAATGTACTCCTAATCATGCTGTACTGTTCTGTTTAGTGTGGCATTATGCTGTTTTGGAAAACTTAAAACTTTTTTTTTCCATAATTTTGGCTGTATAAGGATGGGTTACGGGAAATCTAAATTCTGGCCAGTTAACATCAGTAAATCTGTTGTGTTTAGATTTGTTTTCTTTCTATGTTGTAAGATTAGATTCTGTATTATTGTGTATGTAAGTATTTACTATGTAACTAGTATGACTGCTAGAGGAATATATCACAATAAATAATAATAAAGTATTAATAATATTATATATAATTATCTATAAAAATGATCATGATTATTATTATTATTATTATTATTATTATTAATAGTAGTAGTATATCACAATAAAGATAAACCGTTGTTGTTGCTAATAGTTTAAACGTTAGTACTACCTACACAGCTAAACAGCTATCTGGGTATCAGTGAATTTACACAGTTTGGAGGCTGTGAATATAAGGATTACTGCCAGTAGAGGCTCTGTGGAGTTTGACATGTCTGTCTATATACACTCCTGTGTATATAAAAGATTTTTAAATATTTTAATTTCATAAACTAGACACCGTATGGCATTTTAAGATGGCAAATTTTCAAGTATTTTTGTATTTTGAACAAGATACTGAGTGTGTCTGCATGCACTTAATAATCCGATAACTGCAGAAAATCAGATTTTGTCAGTAATCCGATCTAGACGTTTACATGCACTCGAGTAATCAGATAATGGGGAAACTACCGGTCTACATGAGTCAGACAGATTTTTGCTTTACAAACAGCCAATAAACTCACAGAAGATGTGATGTAAACGTAACATAAAGGACTCAAACGTCATGCCGCGGCTTTTTTAAAAACATGTTGTTTCATTGTCGCTCCAAAAGTCTTTGGTTGTGTCTCGCGGTAACGCTGCTCGCTTATTTCTCACCTGTTTTCGCAGATATGCAGACTGAGAAATCTGAAAGAAATCAGAGTAAGAGTTCACATGCATTGAAAAATCTGATTACTGAGCCAAAATCCAGCCTCTTTATCGGATTTCTTAATCAGATTTCTAGATTGTAGTGTGCTGTTTACGTGATCATTTGAATAATCAGATCACTCCAGAAAATCCAATTATGATCCGATTATTGACTGCATGTAAACACACTCGCTGACAATATGTTGTTTTTATGCATTTACAGCAGTTTCCTGTTTCTACCTCGAGATTTGAGCACCACTTTTCATTCTGTGTATTAACTTTATCCAGATTCAGATGCAGATTAATTTATTGTCATTCCGAAATATGTTTCTACATAAAGGAAATGAAATGAGGTACTCATGTCCCGTTTGGGTAGCACCAATAATAAATCCAGAAGAAAACACATAAAAACACCATTAAAAATAAAATAGGTAAATAAATCTATAAATATAAATACATGTATAAGCATAAAGCGAGCAGAACGGACAGGAATTAGACCATGAAAATCTACAAGGTGGCCAAGTGGGACCAAATTGCAGCAGTGCCCTAATGTGATCACTCTGGACACTGGAGTTTTCTCTAAAATTAAAAATGAATCTTTTATTCTAGAGCTTCTTAACATCGTACTATTTTTGAAACCTGTGCAGGATTAGCCTATTAGAATAATGTTACATATTTATCTGCAACCACATTGGTTTCATATTAAAAATACTGATTGTAAACTTCGGAAAAGCACTGCATATTAATATTCTATATGCAGGAAAATGGTTTGTGTTGTGTGAATGTGTCTGAGCGTAAAGAGACAAACGACTGTGTGAGTCATGCAGGCCCAGTTTAAGCTAAATGAGTCTGATAATATGAGCTGATTTGGAAAAATGGTCAACATGTTGTATCAGCCTGTAGGGACTAAAGTCCACCTGTCTGCTGACTCAGAGTGCTGCGCTGCACAGGACTGTGGAGTTTGTACAGGATTAGATAAACTGTGCAGGAGTTTGAGCTGTTCTGATACAGTTATTTGGATGCTGTAGCTCCCCCTATTACCCAAAGTGTAGAGCTCTTTAAGTGATTAACTACAGCTCCGTATTTGTTGGAATGGAGGTGTAAAGACTGAACATTATTAACACTGAGAATTTTGTGAGCAGTTTGAGAATATGCACATTTTCGGAAAAAAATAGCACAAACTCTGAAAAAATGAACTCACGGTTTAGGAGTTATTAATTGATTTTACATGTGGAAAAACAGTTGTAACTGAGAAAAGAATGTAATCTCAATGATTAAAATGTTTCCAAATAACTGAATGCATATTCCATACTTACAATCCAATCATGCCCAACAATTAAGTTTAGTACGATAAGGAAAAACACCACAGAAGACGTTCTGATGAAGTAAAGTGATTAAATTATATGTAGTTATACCTCAGAGCAGGACATGCGGCTCTTTTACTGTCCTGTTGTGGCTCCACAGCAGAATTAGATTAGTAGGTAAAAATAAAATAATCCTCCTTTACAGTAAAATAAAGCTCTGCTGATCGTTCAACACAGTTTAACAATAAATGATCTTAAACGCTGGAGTTAATGTAGAACTGCTAATCCATCCTTTAACCCTGATGGTTAGTGCGCTGACTGCTGGTCACCATAGCAACACAGACAACAATCTGTCCTGGCTAGTATCTAACGAAAAGGCAGAGAGAATGATTTAAGATGAACATCGATAATTTGGAGACTTATGGACTTATTTGCATTTATAATCACTCCAGCTGGTTTCCTGATACGATTAATCTGCAACAAGAAGCTGTCAAACACTAAAAAGTCGCAAAGCTTAAGTCAGTTTCACATTCGCCAGCTTCAAATTTTATAGCCAAGATGGTAAAACGTTACTTAAAATGGACATAAAATGTTGTGGCTCTCAAGGTGGTTTGATTTTTGTTGAAAGGACAAAATGGCTCCTCTTAACATTTGGGTTGCCGACCCCTGCCTCAGAGGGACATCTAACAGTGTCCATTTAGATTTTTTTTATTATATGTAACTGTCATATTTTTATTTACAACCAATTTTGGATTTTCTATTGTTTAAAAAAGATGCCTTTTATGATACCATAATAAATGCACACCAATAAGTCCTTGGGCAAGATTTCTAACTCTTCACACTTCTTCCTATGTAACATGATTACATTATGAGTTGCTCTAGATAAGAGCATCAGCCAAATCCATAAATGTAGATGTAATAACTGAAGTGAGTTTTAGCCATTTGATGAATTTGGACTCATTTCTGAAAGATGTGTTCTCATAGATCTACATGTAACATTTCAAATATGGACATTAACAGGTTACTGGCTGCTAATTGGCTGAGAAGAACATACTACTGGCCACTTGGGGGCGCTGTTGTCACACAGCTGTATCTGTGCCGCCTCTGTTCCTAATGTGCTATTAACAGACCAAAACACAACACAAAGGGAGACTCTTCCTCCACTGCATAACAGCTGCCTCATTCTCTCCATTCCGACTCAAATATATAACATTTAAAAAGAAATATGAAGCTGAGGGGTGAGGAGTGCAGAACACAAAGAGCCGTGAAGAATTCAATTCTGACTGACCAGCAGCTCTGGACGCTATATGTGATAAAGTAAATAAACCCAACAAAAAAGGCTGAAAAAGTCAGTTGAGAATAAATAATGTTAATAAGCAGAATAATAAACAGTATATGTATATTTATGTGTGTATCTGTGCACTAAACAAGCTCTGCATTTCTAATTAAACGGCTGAAATAGAAGATTCACACGAAGGTTAATCAATCATCCAGATCAGTTTCCTACCTGTGAAAACTGACTGTATAAAAAAGAAAAAGAACCCTTTTGTGTATCATAACTTCAAATCAATGTTATTAAATATAAAGAGGAAAAGGAGAAAAATAAGCATTACACAATACTCGTTTATAGCTGTAGAGGTATTGATAGTATTCATAACGTATGTGGTTTGCTGGCTGCTTCAGATTGTTTTGAAAGAACACTATATAAATTATATATAAAAACTAAATATTGCTGTTGTCGGAACAAAACCTCGTATCTCCAAAATGGTAACTTTACAGGAGAAGGAAAAACGTACATTACTTTTAATGTAAGTCAATGGAACCAGACGTCTTTCCAAGTCATTTTGGGCCGTTTCTTTTGGTCCATTCATCATGAAATTTGCACACAATGTAAAGGTCAACAGGGATTTTCAAATCATGATAAAAACCAAAAAATGACAAAAATAGAGACACAAGTTTTTGTTCCGACAGCAGCGATATGCAGTATGAGCCCATTTACAGTACTGTAAGTTTCGGTTTGGTGTCATTTTAAGACACTTATAACAAAAACGTCCAATCAAAACAAGTTAATCAGGTCTGTAAGACATTATTTTAGCACAGAGTAGCAGCACTCAGGAAGCAGGGGTTCATTAACTTGACTGGTGAATTTAAATATCAACTGATCCCATGATATACTTGGAAAATATCACAATATTGGAATGTACTGATACTGCGCAGCCTTAGCTGAGGCAGAGATGAGAACAGGAGATTAAAGCGATAAAGGGATAAAGCAGTTTGTTTTACCATCACTGCCAGGTCACACATGTTCAGCTGAGGCTGACCAGGAATCAAGGTCTTCTGATGCTGCTCCACGACCGAAGTAACACGCCTCAAAACGGCCTGATACTCTTCAGATAGGACACTGAGAGAGAGGGGGGGGGGAGAAGGGTGGGGGAGGGAGGTAGAGAGAAAAGAGAAAGAAATGTACTTGAAGCAGCATGAACAAAACCAATCATACGCACGCCGAAGCAGGGCAATCGCATTGGACCATCAATTCAGCCACGTTCACATATACACAAAGAGCCCGGCTCTTCAGCGGAGTCAAGGACACTCGAGCCATTGCTTCCACCTCCCACACACACACACACACACACACACACACACACACACACACACACACACACAGCCCAGTGAATGGTTATACACTTCAGATGAACAGGAGTCAGGCATGGCAGCACACACTCAAAAGCAGAAGAACAGGGGGTCAGCATGCTTTAGGAAACATTACTACAGCATACGACCAATAACAGGAGTAGAGGAGGTAAAAGAACTGATACCATATATATATATATATATATATATATATATATATGTTTAAGGTGGTGACTAGTTTTCTTGTCTGGTGAGCCTGTGACTAAAAATTGCTTTGCTTCCAGGCAAGAATTCCAGTGCTCCCTGTCCGTCAGTTTCGTCTTTCGGCTACAGTTATGATGAGAATTTCCTGTAGACTGGGATTTCTGCCACTGCCGGTCGACCCGTATGACCGTACACTTCAATACACCTGTAAATTCAGCTACTTTCTTCACACTGTGGCCTTTGGCCGCCCAAATGAAATCGCTCCCTTCCAATCATTAACATCTGCTTTGCAACCCATTTTCCACACACTGAACAAGACATTTACTGCACTGTACCACCTTTTCTCAATCTATGAATCCCACCACACACCCCGCAGGTATTTATAGCCTGATTTATCATCCTTGTGCAACGCCATCTGCAGGAGCCTGTTAGTTACTACAACCTTAAACACACGTTTATATATATATATATATATATATATATATATATATATATATATATATATATATATATACACACACACACACGTGGACATCGGGAAGAAAAATATGTATGCAAATATACAAGGGATGTAGGATATGGACCTTTTAAAGGCTCCTAAAGGGAATTTAAACATGAATATCATGCATTATCTGTACTTTAAGGCTAGACAATATACAGCTGTACACAAAAGTTTGAACACCTCTGGTCAAACTGCACTTTTTCTTGAATGTCTAAGTGTAAATAAGTTAACACATCCTCTACAGAGAATACACTCCTGCACATTTTAATGCACAATTACTGCCTTTTTGCTGAATTTAACCCACTGGGAAAAATACAACATGTGCAAAAGTTACGCCGCACTTTACATTGTGTTTTATTTTTTTCCAATGTGTCAAACTCGGTAAATAATTCGAAATTGTGACCTAAAATGCACCACATATATGTTTGTTCCCTAAAAAGGATGTTCACTTACTTCCCCTTAGAAAATCAACAACTTTTGCCTACAACTGTACGTTTGAAAAATGTATTAAAAAAATGTGAGATCACATGAAAAAGTGATCACATGTGAAAAAGCATGTTTCCGAACATGATGTCATGTGATTACATATTGTTCACATGATGTTGCATGTGTCCACGTATGAACGTGTGAGGTTTTAGACACTTTTCTGTAAGGGTGAAGTTTTTACCGTCGTTGAGGGACGTCGCTGTTACCATGGAAACTCAGTTAACCATCACCAGGCACAGGAGAAGTACTGTTATTTTGCCAAAAGCCATGGGTTCAATAACTTTGACTCATGTTTTAGAGGAAAAAGGTCAACACTAAACATACGCAAACCTTCCTTTCACAGTCATACGGTACATAACATCTTCGCTCAGACACATCCGAAACTAATGGACTGACCCCATTCTGCTTTCATTCTTTGTGTGTTGGACAGCCTGCTGTAAACCTGGGCCACACACACACACACACACACACAGAAGACCCCCCGTGGCTCAGAGAAGAGCTCTGTCCTCTATAGGACCTGTAGGGTTAATGGGATCCTCAGAGCATGCGAGTGCACACACACACACACACACACACACACACACACACACACACACAGTAGACAAATATCACCACAGCAATTACGCCCTTAATACAGCGGCAGGCAGCACCTGTGTCAGCTCCGTCCCTCCAGCCCCCCCCCAAACATCCCTCCGAAGCCCCCTCCCAAACGGAGCCTTCTGATTGGCCCCTGGGGAGTGTGTGTGCATGAGTGTGCCTGTGCAGGGTGAGAGGTCAATTAGTGTAATAACCCTAGGCTCTGTCCCATTCACACCTTCACCCCGTTCACTCCTCCGTCTCCTGGGGGGGAGCAGGGGGCTTCCGCCACACAAGAACACCTGCTCCTCCTTCTCTATATCACTCCTCTTTCACTCCATCACCCCTCTTGCTCTCTATCACTCTACCACTAATGTATCGCTTCTATATTGCTATCACTCCCCAGTCACTATTCCACTGCTCCTCTGTCACTTCTATCACTCTATTATTCCCCAGTTATTCCTGTATCACTCTTCTGCCACTCCTCTATTGCTAAACATTTACTCTTTCATGCCATCACTTCCATCTCACTCCTCTATCATTCTTCTATCACTATTCTATCACTGCTCTGTCACTAATATCTCTCCGCAATCACTCTTCTATCAATAAAATATCACTCCTTTGTGACTCACCTCAAAGCACTAATCTTTCAGTCTTCTATTGCTAATATATCACTCCTCTATCACTGATCTCTCACTCCTCTATCACAAACCTATTTTCTATCACTCCCTTTCACTAATCTATAACTCTACCACTAATATATCACTCCTCTGTCAATAATACAGCCTTTCTCTGTTGCCTCTCCATCACTAATACATCATTCTTCTATCCCTCACTATCACTCTATCACTACTCCATCAGTGCTCTATCACTCTTCACTTTCCACCACTAATGCTCTTCTATCACCCTATAACTAATCGAATGCTCCACTATCACATTTATATCAATAATCCATAACTAATGCATCACTCCTCTATCACTCTACCACTATCACTCCCCTATAATTAATCTACCACTTCACCACTAATCTATCAGTCCTCTATCACTCTGTTATTCTTCTACCACTCATTAATCACTCTTCTATCTCTTTACCACTAATCAATCGCTCCTGTATCACCCTATAACTAACACTCAACTATCACTTTTCTGTCACTAACGCTTCACTCCTCTATCACTAATCTATCAGTCCTATATCACTCTATTGTCTTTGTACCACTCATTTACCACTCTTTGTACCACTCTTCTATCTCTCAAACTCTAATCTAACACTCCTGTATGACCCTATGACTAATCTAACACTCCACTATCACTCTGCTATCACTAATGCTTCACTCCTCTACCACTCCTCTATCACTCTATTGTTCTTCTACACTTGTTTATCACTCTTCTATCCCTTTATACTAATCTATTGCTTCTGATTCACCCTGTAACTAATCAAACACTCCACTATCATTCTTCTATTACTAATGCTTCACTCTTCTATCACTAATCTATCAGTCCTCTACCACTCTATTGTTCTTCTACCAATTATTTATCACTCTTCTATCTCTCTACTACTAATCTATCGCTTCTGTATCACCCTATAACTAATGTAACACTCCACTATCAATCATTTCAATAATCTATCACTGAAGCATCACTCCTCTATCACTCTACCACTATCACTTCCCTGTCACTAATCTACCACTCCTCTATCACTCTATTGTTCTTCTACCACTCGTTTATCACTTTTCTATCTTTCTACTACTAATCTATCGCTCCTGCATCACGCTATAACTAACACTCCACTATCACTTTTCTATCACTAATGCATCACTCCTCTATCACTCTACCACTATCACTCCCATTACTAATCTACTACTCCACTATCACTTTTCTATCACTAATGCATCACTCCTCTATCACTCTACCACTATCACTCCCCTGTCACTAATCTACTACTCCACTATCACTTTTCTATCACTAATGCATCACTCTTCTATCACCAACCTATCACTTTTCTATCACTAATGCATCACTCCTCTATCACTCTACCACTATCACTGCCCTGTCACTAATCTACTACTCCACTATCACTTTTCTATCACTAATGCGTCACTCTTCTATCACTAACCTATCACTTTTCTATCATTCATCTAGCATATTTTGATCCGGCTGGATTATACAAAAAAGTTCATAAAGGTTCTGACTGTGCTAAAAGTTCCTGAGGGAGCAGGACAGTCTGTTTAATCAGCTGTTTGAACTTAGGCCTGTGATACAAATCTGGAGTCTGACAGAGACAAACAGGATGTGAAACGGAGCCAAAAGCAGCGTCCTTCATCACTTCATCACCTCCCGAGAGCGAATGTTTGATCCATTCATACATTAGAAAGATGGAAAGATGTGATCAAGCGCAGTGAAACGCTGGGTTTCATGTACAGTAGGTGTCAGATGGTTTGACAAAGGATCTGGCGTCTACATTTACTACAGCGGACTGAACCTCTGGACCCTTAAAGTCCTGAATCAATAATTAATGCCAGCATGTTTATTTATGCTGAGGGTCCAGGCGAACAATGAAAAATCCTCAGTCAGCACGGTTCGTTAGCATCACTTCCAGTCCTAACCCACAGATTCCCCACTGCAAGCGCAGAGGCATAAATTATAATAACACTGCATGCAAATGCGGGCTTTTGATTTATAATGCATGGCACCCAGGGGGCAGGGGTATTGCTCAGGTGTCACCAAACTGATTAGTGATTCACAACCCCTCCACTACCAACACTCGCACACAAACGCAGTACTTGCAAATGCTCTACTGTGCAAGGGGAACGCAATAAAAACAAGTACCCCATATCAGCACTCACGCGAACAAAACACAGGCACAACTGAGTGGATAAATAAAAGAAGTCAACTGACACGTGCATACACTTGGCAGAAGACGGGGGAATTGAGCTGAAGAGACAATCAAATACCTCTGCCCTTTCTCTCCCCGTCTCCCTCTCTCCCCTGTGGAAATTGAGCAA